AGGTGCGTCGTCAATTGCAGCTACGGCAAAATGCAACTCCAAACTGAAAAAGGCACAATCCAGTAAGGTATCAGCCTATTCTTAAGTCAGATGGGTGTGAAATTTCAATTGAAAGTAAATGCTTTGGATTCCATATAATCAATAGTAATGCACTGAAAAATAGGGCGTCCCCAAAAGACTAAACACGATCTTCCCTATCTTGCTTTTAGTAAGAAGAAGATCGAAGCAATAAAGAATTGAACTGAGACAATTTGAGGTTTTGGAATTACTCACAACTTTACTATGATAAATCAACTTAGATTTGAGTGGTTAAATCTATCCTCCTTATCTGATTTTCTAGCCTGGCACTCACCTTGATCGGAGTGTGAAGAACATCAAATATACTGATTTTGTTAGCAAGAAGCTTATTATGTTTTTGGTGGCTGACCTTAAAAGATCTATTCCATGACAAATTTGTTGAATTGATTCATTCCAAATTTGCTTTGACTTAGTGCCTTGATACTTGTTATTCTTCTTTCGATGTTTTAGTTATTCCGAATTTCGTAGTGGTAGTTATGTAACTGTGTGCCTGTGCCCTAGGTGTTGCGATCATAAATTCATTGCCATGGGAGTGTCAGTATAAATGTCTCGATTATGCCTTTCTGTTTGCTGTAAGTAATTTACCATAATCAAATCTGTACCTTCTTTATAACTTTTTATACAAGTCGGTTCTACAATATTCTCTGAGTTCCACTCATGAAATTGGTTAAGAAGTAGGACCTATCTTGTTTTTATCATATTTTAGTTTCATTATATCATTGGCTCATATTAGTTGACATAGGTAGATCATATCCATTTATCTATATAATTGGGTGTACTGTTGTGTATGATGTAGTTATGTGATGTTAGTTTATGCAATATATTCTTCTAAGCTTTAAATGCAAGATACTTGTGACTTTGATAAGGAATAAATGACAGTCCTAGAAAAAGATATTCTTTTGATAATTGTTGATAGTGTTCCAGCTTTGGACACCCCACAAAGACAAAACTATAATGGAAACATGCAGAGAACATTCAAAATTTATTTATGATTTTGCTGACCAAAGATAGTTCAGGTTTAAAACGTTTATTTGAACATGGTTATATGTCAGCTATAAGACTTTGTAGTCTTTTACTACTTTAGGCGTGTCTATCTCTCAGATGTTCATCATTCCTTGATATGTTACCACTCTGATCAAACAAAGAAAGTAAGAAGCAGATCCAGTAGGCATATGAAAGAGTGACCCTTAAATTATGCGTCTTTGAGACATCAAATTATGCGTCTCTTATTGTATTGTTTGATAGCGGCATGATATTAGGTATAAATTTCCATGTTAACGTACTTAAGTAGTTAAGTACCATAAACTATATGTTTTTCTTTGAGACACCTTATCTATACTATATTATTTGGAATGTCCAAAATTGAATTACTCCTAAGTGGTGGTGCACAACAAGTGATGTTTACTGCAGATGTAATTTTCACAGATGGATAGGTGAAAAAATGTTTTTCATGAATGAGGATCATATTGTGCACAACTTTTGCATGAGTGCATCACTGCAAGTGTGAATGTAGGAAGTTTGAATACTTTTGCTCTGAAGCCTGGCAAAGAGTTCTTTTAAAGTAATACTTCTATTATTAAATATTTGTTACTCCGTACTACGTAATACATTTTGGTTCCATCTCATGGTTTGACTGCCTCCCCATTCATGTTATGCATGTATGTCTTTAATATATACTCCACGTTGTATTATGTTTTGACTGAAATGTTGTGTTGCATAGGTGTGGCCACTGCTATAAAGCTGCAAAGAGCTCAAATAGAAAGGTCAAGTTGGGCCATGTGCCCATGTAGACTTGAATGTTGAAAGGCAAGTTCCAGAATGCACATTTTGAGCTTTGAATGTTGAAAATACTCCCGTGTTGATCACTTTGGTCTAGATTTCATTTTATATGGCTCTCAAAGTTCATATGGGACTATGTTTTTTTTTCTTTGGAATTTTAAGAAGTTGCACGTTGCTGAAGATAAAAAAATTATGTACTACGTATTTGATTCTTATAGGGTCCGTTTGGAACCTATAAATTATTATGAAAAGAAAATGAGGAGGGAAAAAGGAGTAATGTTGGACGTGGATTTTATTAAGGGTAAGTAAAAGACAGTTTCAAACTTGATAAATATATGTTATATGTAATGCTCAGTATTCAATATGACTGCATATATGTTATATGACCTCTACAGAGTAAATATATTTTACAAAAAGGCATAATCGAGAAATTTATACTGACACTCCCATGGCAATGAATTTATGATAGCAAAACCTAGGGCACAGGCACACAGTTCCATAAGACCATAACTACCACTACGGAGGACCTGCAAACATCTAAAGAAGAATAACAAGTCTCAAGGCACTCAGTGAAAGTAAATTTGGAATGAATCATTTTTTTTTCATTTATTTCATTTTCATTTACCCCACTGCGGCAAAGGCTCCCACCTACGATGGGGTAAGGGGGGTCGGATGTACGCAGTCTTACCCCTGTGCTAAAGCACAGGGAGACTGTTTCCGGATGACCCATAGTGAAAATTGCGTCCAAAATTGTATGGACTGACTGCTGCTTCATAACAAAGCGCAGACAGTTTAGTGAGCCATTTTGCTTTATTACATCATATTCTCAAGCCAAAAAATAATGAATCTTTGGCTCCATTGCAAATGATGGAAATAAAAAAAATTGTCATGGAATAGATCTTAAAGGTCAGCCACCGAATAAGGTATTCGGTGGGAAAAGTGTGTGTGTGTGTGTGTGTGTGTGTGTGTATATATATATATATATATATATATATGTATGTATATATATATATATATAGGGGAAAGATCAAGTACAAAGTGTGCTTATTATGCAAATGTTTGTACGATGCACCTTGACGTTATTTGCATTGCACATTGAGGTTCAAAGTGTTGCATATTATATACTCATAAAATAGCAGTTGCACATTAACGTTCAACGAGTTGCACCCTAGAAAAGTTAGGTTTATTACAAAAATGCCACCTTGCCTTTATATCCTTTAGATCAACTCATCGGATGGTCAAAATAAGTTTGTACTTTGTAAATTAAGCATGGTTTGTATTTGAACTCTATTATATATATATATATAGTTGTATATATATAGTTGTGTATATATACACTTTTCCCACTGAATACCTTATTCTCACTGAATTAATTATCCTTTATTGGTCACTTCATGTTGTTATATATATATATATATATATATATATATATATATATATATATATATATATATATATATATATATATAGTATTACAACCTAACCTTTAGTTTTACTTACCCTGTACTATTTATTTCCCTTTGTACCCTTCAAACTTCATTAAATAAATTAGGGAGATGTTCCCCGGCACTCCCCCACCTCGGGTGGTTTATTCCGAAAAAAAAAATAGTATTACAACCTAATTATTATCCTATTCGTCCCATTTACCTGTCTTACTTTCCTTTTTGGGTTGTCCCAAAATAAGTGTCTCCTTTCCTTTTTGGAAAGAAATATGTGGTCTACACCATTTCACTTTACTATACTCTAATTTCAACCACAACTTTTACTTTTTCAATCACCTCATTAATAACTGTGCCAAGTCAAACTAAGATACATAAAATGAGACGGAGGTAGTACTATTTTTCTTGTGCAGGAAAGTTAATGCATCAGTCTCATGTGATGGTGAATTGGTGATGACTTCCATCCAGAAAAAAATGGATGAATTTTAACTGATAGCCTTTAGAGCGGATGATCAATTGAATGGAAAAAAACTTTTCTGATAGAGATTACTAACTTAATGGCTTAGATCTTAGTTATCCAAACATCATTTCTCCAAAATGCAATATGTTGGAGGTTTAAAATTTCCGTCAACATCTAAGACTTTTTTACTCATTACATGAGTCTAATTATTTCTCATAGTAATAACATGTCCCGATCTGATGCCACAATGTTTTGGGTTTGGTTTCATCGACCGGTCTGCCACTGTGCCAATTAGGTGACTGTAAATTATAAAGGGAAAAATAATTAAAGTACCCCAAACTTTGAAGGGGTGTGAGGTAAACACCCCAAACTTTGAAGGGGTGTGAGGTAAGCACCCCAAACTCGCATATGCAATTTAAATAATCTAAACTTTATATAAAAAATTATTTTAGCACCATGTTCATGTATTACTTCGTATTTCTTTCAAAAAATGTTAATTTTTGTGTGTGTTAATTTTATAATTTAGAATACTTTAGCATTCCAATCTCCCATTGCAAAATAAATAGTATTACATTCACTCTATATAATTGCAACGTTTTCAATTTGCTATTTCATATTATGTAATTAACACCGCAAATTTACATTTTTGAAATAAATAATGCATGGCCATGATGTTAAAATAACTTTATATATATATAGTTTCGGACTTTGGGGTAGTTAATTTACATGTAAAAGTTTTGGGTGTTTATCTCACACCCTTTCACAGATTGGGGTATTTTAGTTATTTTTCCCAATGGTAAAACATCAACACACTTCTCTTTTTAGTGTTTCCATTAATTTCCCTCACTTCATTTATGTTTTAGATCTCTTTTTAGTAATAAATTAATATATTACCAATTATTTTGACTGCTTACTATAGTAAATTCTGGCACTGAATCAATTTGTTCTAAGAAGGAGTACATAATTGCAATTACATTATGTAAAATATTATTGGGCACTGACTTTATCGCGCAACGCGCGACAAAAAAACTAGTACCGTCATATATAACTTAATAATTAGTGAAATTTCTAGTCTAGACTCATATAAGCACATCAATTAACATAATGTAAATGCGATGGAAACTGGCTAAAATAACTAACGAGAATTTAAAAGACAGTCACTTGTGGATGGGAAACAAATAAATGATGGCATTCATTCAAAAAGATCAAATAAATACGAATTCTTAATGAACATGATGAACTCAGTCCTACTTCAAGCTAGCTAGGCGGAGAGCCCGGATGTGGAAGACGAGGGGCGCCGTTTTGGTTACTACCGGGTGACGGCGCCGACGGCGGAATCAGTCCACCCTTTGGTAGCATCGCCGAAAAATAATCTGGCGGCGGCGGAGAGTCATTGTTGTTGACTACGACCACCGCCTTCAACCTCCCTCCGCCACTTGCATCCACGCCAACAACAATGCCGATGCTGACAACAAACCAAATGGCAAGAAGAAGTTTAATGGAACCCAAACCTCCCCAGCCGCCGGTTCTGCCCTTAGCCGCCGCCGCCGTCGTGGTCCTACTCATCTTCTCGGCAGTTCTCGGTGGATTTTCAAGCAAAACAAAAAATGATATTAGGTGATTATGTCTTGCCTGAAATTGTTTGGTTGTGATATACGTTGTGAACAACCCTTTTATAGACTTATGGTGTACTTAAAATATAATCACTCATGATAGAATCTTTTTAAAAATACATTGGGAAGGATCACTCACACAATCCTAAGTATGCAATTAATGGTTGCAACTTTTCATTGGGAACTTTAAAAGCCATGCATTGCATGTGTGTATATAATTACTCCCCACCAGCCACTTCAATTTGAATAATCCTACTATATTTGTACGTGATTAATGGATGCGTCGTTCTATAATAATTTCTTCTATTTGAATTCTAATTAGAAATCTCGATTCGATCAATAATTCAATACCGGATAAGTGGCATTCTTTCCTCCAAAATAGTTAAATCCCAAATTAAACTTAAGATCCTCACGTCCCGACTCGATAAGATCAGACATAAGAAGTTGTAAATCATGGTGAATTAGTCAGTTACTGAAGTTGTAAATCATGGTGAATTAGTCAGTTACTGCTTATATATCCATGTAAAAAGAAATGTTGTGTATGAGGATATAGACTTGAGATATTTGTTTTTTATTTGATTACATTTTTTGTGTTTCATTACAAAATTTAAACTCTATTAATTATATTATCGATTATCAATTCGACATATTTTGCAAAATATTATCCCGTTACACGAGTACTATACTAGTACGTGTTAAAAATAATAAGATATTTTGCAACCGTTCTATAACACGATTAATAATTAAGTACGTAAAGTGAGTTTTTATTCAATTTGAATTATTTGATCGTATATAATTTTTTCTTGTTCACTTTCGGAATTGTTAGATTCTTTAGACATGCAATTCATTTACTCTATTATTGGTTATTCGTAACTCATTTGATGTTCATATTATCATATAATATAGGTTGATCGCTAGTATGTCAGTGGTATGTAGCAAGTAAGCTAAGGCACATAAAAGTTTTAACGGACTATTCACTCTATCCCTTAAAACATTGTCAATTTTCCATTTTTATTGTCGCATTAATTTTGACACTTTACTTTTTTAGTAAAGAAGTTATGGTTCCAGATTATTCTTCTTTTCGGCACAAACCAAATCACACAATTTTTACTTTATTAAAATCTCGCATCAGTCAAACTTGAGAGGTTTTAAGGGAGAGAGGGAGCATTAAATTGGACTATTATACTGGGTGGCCTTTGGATAAAAAACATGGAAGAGTACCTTTTTCTCTTAAAATAATTAAGTTACAATGTGTATATTAATTTGTATGCATATGGGATGTATATGGATTTGAAAAATTGCGTTTCAGCCAAAAGTAACTGTTTGAGCCCTTTTAACGTTTTCAATAAATTAATTAAAGGAAAATTATCATTTACCACTCTTGAGGTTTCACGTATTATCACCTAGACGGTGGCTAGACCTAGTGTTCTAAAACACGCGGAAAGGCTGCGCCTACTCGAGCGTAATCGTGAGGCGCAGCAATAATGCCTCGCATACCTTACAGGCGTGGGAAAAGGCGTTCAAATAGATTGAAACCTTATGCGAATTAAATTTTAACTAGTTGAGGAGGGCCCACCATACAGGCTTGCAAGGCTCCCGACGTACAAATTTCTCGTCCCTGCGTATGAATTTATAGAGTTGGTAAAAGGTTGGATGCGCCTCTTCTTCCGGTAGGGGATAAATTGGATGAATACTACGTACAGAAGGGAAGAACCGAGGCTTCAGTTTATGAGCTTTGAAGTCAAAATTACATTGCATTGTCAACTCATCCAATCATCCATTAAAACTATAATTAAAACTATATCCCATAACATAACTTAAAACTCTATCCCATAACATGAATTAGCTACACAATATCGATTTACTATCATTATTATTTTTATTACGTAGTATTATTTATCAATCAAGTTGGTTTTTCAATTCTTGTTTTTTCTTATTATTTAAAATAGTAAGTACACCTACTATTTTTGTTCTTGAGAAATTTATTTCTGTTGAGGATTTGAAGTGTGTTTTTTATGTGTTATTGTTAAGACACAGGGTTCCATCCTAAAAGGTCAACCTGATAGGAGGAGTAGCCCATGTGTTAATATAACACTTTGTTCATCCAAATGTTTCCGGTGTGGGACATTTAGCACCCCTCCTCACGATCAGACACTTCGTCTAGATCGTGCAATCATTCATTTTTTTTTCATCGGTCCGTTTTTTTTTTCATCCGGCCGTAATTGTCATTTTTTTAATAATCGTGTCATCACGATTCATAAGGGGCCCCACACCATGGATCGATTTGGCTCTGATACCATGTTAAGACTCGGGGTTCCATCCTAAAAGGTCAACCTGTTAGGAGGAGTAGCCCGGAGCTTAATATAGCACTCGTTTCATCCAAACTTTTCCGGTGTGGGATATTTAACACCCCTCCTCACGACCAGACACTTCGTCTGGATCGTGCCATCATTCATTTTTTTCATTGGTTTGTCATTGTCATATTTTTTTTTGTATAATCATGTCGTCATTTTTTCATAAGGGGCCCACACCATGGATTGGTTTGGCTCTGATACCATGTTAAGACACGGGGTTCCATCCTAAAAGGTCAACCTGATAGGAGGAGTAGCCCATGTGTTAATATAACACTTTGTTCATCCAAATGTTTCCGGTGTGGGACATTTAGCAGTTATATTTTCTATCTTCCAAAAAAAGTGTAATGTTTTCTAATAAAAGATTTACAGGTTAACTATTATTTAATAAGATTTTTTTCTAAAATGTTATTAAAATCAAATATACTGATGGAAGATTGAAAGTATGACAAAAGTTACTATAAGTATAAAATTATAGTCATTTAAATATAATAATTTAATATAAAAGTAGTCACTAAAAATTAATAATATAATGAGTTCACTTAAGGAATCACTTTTTTGTTCATCATCTTTACTTTGCTGATAAGTATTCGTCATTGTAGTTTTAAGTAATGGCTCTAGAAAAACAAAATTATGAGTAAAAACTAAAAAGCCTTTTCACGCATAATTCTCGCCTAAACTCGCCTAAGATTCAAAGGCTTCGGGCTTGGTCGTGCCGCCTCGACACGCCTTACGCCTTTTAGAACACTACCTAGACCCCTGCACTATTAAAAATATACACTTGCCCCCCTCCCTATCCTTTAATGAAAGTTTAATAACTCTTAATTACGTTTAGAAATAATATCAATTCAGTTTTATGAATTTACTCACTTGCATATTTAACCTGATAATTAATAAATTTACTTGTATTCAAAATCTTTCCACCAGAAAGTACTTTTTTGCAAGAATGCGTACTTTCCAATGAAATAGCCCTTATTATTGACAAGGTACATAACTACATCTACATGTGAGTAAAATTATACACTTAGCAGACACAATCGAAAGGTACGAGCTTAAAACCATAAATCTCTGTTACTTTTAAAAGTTCAAAAATATATTTGAGGTTGTAGAAATCTTGGTGAAACTTTTCTGACGAGAGAAAAATGTCTAATATCGAGGAATGTTATTTTATACGTAAAACAGATATTGTTGAAGGACTTTTAGGAGACTATTGTTACCTATTGTAAATTTGTATGAGAAGTACTTACTTTTGTGGTTCATATTAGGGGAGGACAAGGCCCGGTCTCGAGAATGACCGATTTTTTAATTAAGATTTTAGGTTGGGATCGAGACCAGACCAGTGAACAAGAGGCCTCAGGCCTCACTTTTTGGACCAGGATTGGAGCCCATGTTTTGACCCCGTTCATTTTTTCATTAAAACCATTGAAAACATTTTAAAATTGGTTATAGTCCGTTTAAAAGTTAAAAAATAGGTAGTTAAATATTTAAATTATCGGGAGCGAACCTAGACAAATTAGGAGATTAGAACTGAAGATAAGGTCATGGGCCACACTAATTATTTAGTACTAACCAGTTTGGGTGTGAAACTCATGATAAATTATAATGTCTTTACCAGTATTTTACATGTAAACATGTTCACATTTTGTCAAATGTTAAATTACAAGTTATATTATACATATAATGATCTCATTTTCAGTGATAAAAAAGTTTCTAGAGTGCAAAATGAGAATTTTCTTGCATTCAATCTTTAATGGTAAAACCGAGTAGTCAACATCACTTTTGAGTCGGTTTGGTTCAATTAAGTTGATTTGTTTCAGTTCTTGACAAATTTAGCTTACTTTGATCATTTCCATGCCAGTTGAGTATATTTAGTCACTTTACAAATTCAAAGGTATAAAACGAACTACCTAGAGTGGGGTCAGTTTTGTTCGACTTCCGATAAAAATGTCATTAATATGGACAAATTTATTAATTACCGGATCAAATTTGTGATTGAATAAAATTATAGTATTAAAAGCGGACCTAACAAAAAATAATGAAATTATATCTATAGTTTTCTCTAAATATATATTAGAAGTTATTTAATCATCATTAAAGGATAGGGAGGGGGGTAAAAGTATATTTTTGATAGTATAGGGGTGTGATTGATAATGCATCAAACCTCAAGGGAGGTCAATGATAATTTCCCTTAATTAAAACGTTGTTTGGTAAATAGTTGTTCGACCCTACCATTTTTTTACAGAACTGCTAAATGGAAACTTTACAAATAAAGGAGTTTTGGGTCAACGTTTTGAAATATGACATTTTTTACTACTCTCTTCGTTCCTAAATATATTTCCCGCTTGCCCTTTTGGGACGCCCCAAAAAATTCGTTCTATTTCCTTTTTTGGAAAGCTAAGGTTTGTATGAGTGTATGACTACCATTCATTTATCCTTTTCTTACTCACCCACAATCATATATTTTAACTTTATTCTCACTTTTTAAAACTCCAATCCAAACCAAACAGCTATAAATACGCTAACATAACCCGCTATCGTTATTAGACCTATTTTAAGATTTTACATAATTAATACTCCGTAGTAGAAATTTCCAAAAAAAATGCATTCATCCGTCGTCCGTGTTAATAGCGTGCAACACTTAAAGCCATGCATGCATGCGTGTAAAAATTTACTCCCCACCGCGCCGACCACTAGGGCTGAGCATACCCGACCCAACCCGAACGACCCGATCGGATTTAT